TGAATGAATGAATGAATGAATGAATGAATGAATGACTGGTTCATATTGTATTATAACGATATTTCTTATTTCTTACTTTTTTGGAAGAGGAAGAAGAAATGATTTGGCATAACTTTGATATGCAATAAGTTTGAATTAAAAGAAAAACAAAAGAGACGAGCAGATAGGGAGAGAGAGAGAGAAAGAGGGAGAAGAGAAAAAATTGGTCGTACCAAAATGAGAAGTGAGAAAAAAAAAATTTTTCGTTTCTTTCTCTTTTTTATTGTCATTTGAAAAATTACCATTACAACAAATCATCGTGTTCTTCCACTTGTTTCAAACTTCATTCATGATGAATGGGATTAATTCATTATGAATTCAATCAATAATGGGTATATATTTTTAATTTGCGCTTAACATAATTGATCAACTTGATCAATTAGCAATTAAAACATTTTGCTTTTTGAAAATTTTCTAGTATTTCCATGTATCATTAGTATTAATTATTAGCAATTAAAAAATATATAAATGATAATTATTAGTAAATTTAGAATTAAAATATTACTGAAAATTGAAAAAAGTTTCATCACATTTTTATTCTAGCATTATCAAAATTAATGATGCCTGAGAATGAGAAATAGATTAACGATTATATTTTAAAATAATCATTGTATTGATTAATGATAGTGATTGGATTTAATGAATGGAAGAATGATATTGGACATTTAAAAAAAAAAATGAAAGTGCTTTCTTATTTAACAGCATAATCATAATGACAAGGTTAAATAACAAAGTCGAAATTTAACATAATATTATTAATTACCACTATTATAATCATTTTGCTCAAAAAAAAAATCTCCAAAATTGCACTTTTAAGATAATGTTTGCAATATTAATTTGAAAAAAAAAATGAATTTTCAAATTCAGAAGACAATAAAGCAACTGGTTTCCTAATAAATTTAAAATCAATTCTTCCCATTAAACTAATACATTACATTTCTTGTTAATCTTCTGTTTGAAAATATATTCCACATTTATCATTTAGTAATAATACTAATTAATAATGGAAAAAAATAATAATGATAATGATAATAATAATAA